GTGCGCGGGACAGCCGCAAGGCCCTCAACTTGGGGGAGATTTTGGCTTTCCGGCACAGAGGTGCCCAGGCCGCAGCCTTTCCCACCCTTTCCGTGCCCGCGGTCCCTGCGTGCCCGGTCATCCCGACGGCGGCTGCGGCCGGGGGCTCCTTCGGGCTCTGGATGAGGTGGGAGGTACCAGGGGGTCTGCGAGGAGCTGGGTCAGGGCCCAAGCGCAGGGACGGTGTCCGTGTGTCCATGCGAGCAGCTCCACGCGGTGTCCGTGTGTCCATACGAGTAGCTCCACACGGTGTCCGTGTGTCCACACACAGCTCCACGCGGTGTCCGTGTGTCCATACAAGTAGCTCCACACGGTGTCCGTGTGTCCATGCGAGCAGCTCCACGCGGTGTCCGTGTGTCCATACGAGTAGCTCCACACGGTGTCCGTGTGTCCACACACAGCTCCACGCGGTGTCCGTGTGTCCATACAAGTAGCTCCACACGGTGTCCGTGTGTCCATGCGAGCAGCTCCACGCGGTGTCCGTGTGTCCATACGAGTAGCTCCACACGGTGTCCGTGTGTCCACACACAGCTCCACGCGGTGTCCGTGTGTCCATACAAGTAGCTCCACACGGTGTCCGTGTGTCCATGCGAGCAGCTCCACGCGGTGTCCGTGTGTCCATACGAGTAGCTCCACACGGTGTCCGTGTGTCCACACACAGCTCCACGCGGTGTCCGTGTGTCCATACAAGTAGCTCCACACGGTGTCCGTGTGTCCATGCGAGCAGCTCCACGCGGTGTCCGTGTGTCCATACGAGTAGCTCCACACGGTGTCCGTGTGTCCACACACAGCTCCACGCGGTGTCCGTGTGTCCATACAAGTAGCTCCACACGGTGTCCGTGTGTCCATGCGAGCAGCTCCACGCGGTGTCCGTGTGTCCATACGAGTAGCTCCACACGGTGTCCGTGTGTCCACACACAGCTCCACGCGGTGTCCGTGTGTCCATACAAGTAGCTCCACACGGTGTCCGTGTGTCCATGCGAGCAGCTCCACGCGGTGTCCGTGTGTCCATACGAGTAGCTCCACACGGTGTCCGTGTGTCCACACACAGCTCCACGCGGTGTCCGTGTGTCCATACAAGTAGCTCCACACGGTGTCCGTGTGTCCATGCGAGCAGCTCCACGCGGTGTCCGTGTGTCCATACGAGTAGCTCCACACGGTGTCCGTGTGTCCACACACAGCTCCACGCGGTGTCCGTGTGTCCATACAAGTAGCTCCACACGGTGTCCGTGTGTCCATGCGAGCAGCTCCACGCGGTGTCCGTGTGTCCATACGAGTAGCTCCACACGGTGTCCGTGTGTCCACACACAGCTCCACGCGGTGTCCGTGTGTCCATACAAGCAGCTCCACACGGTGTCCGTGTGTCCATGTATCCACACACAGCTCCACACGGTGTCCGTGTGTCCACACACAGCTCCACACGGTGTCCGTGTGTCCATGTATCCACACACAGCTCCACACGGTGTCCGTGTGTCCATGTATCCACACACAGCTCCACACGGTGTCCGTGTGTCCATGTATCCACACACAGCTCCACACGGTGTCCGTGTGTCCATGTATCCACACACAGCTCCACACGGTGTCCGTGTGTCCATGTATCCACACACAGCTCCACACGGTGTCCGTGTGTCCATGCGAGCAGCTCCACACAGTGCCCATGTGTCCATACGAGTAGCTCCACGCGGTGTCCGTGTGTCCACACACAGCTCTACACGGTGTCCATGTATCCACACACAGCTCTACACAGTCCGTGTGTCCATGCGAGCAGCTCTACACGGTGTCCGTGTGTCCACACACAGCTCCACACAGTCTGTGTGTCCACGTGCGGCTCTGCACGGCGTCCATGTGTTCATATGAGCAGCTCCATGCAGTGTCCATGTGTCCATACGTGTCCACGTGTCCCCCACGCCGTGTCCGTGTGTCCACACGTGTCCCCGTGCAGTGTCTGCGTGTCCCCACGCTGTGTCCGTGTGTCCACATGTGTCCCCACACGGTGTCCGTGTGTCCACACGTGTCCCCGTGCAGTGTCTGCGTGTCCCCATGCTGTGTCTGTGTGTCCACACGTGTCCCCATGCAGTGTCTGCGTGTCCCCACGCTGGGTCCACGTGTCCCCACGCTGTGTCCGTGTGTCCACACATGTCCCCATGCCGTGTCCATGTGTCCCCGCACGGTGTCCGCGTGTCCCCACACCGTGTCCCCACACCGTGTCCACACACTGTGTCCGTGTGTCCACACGTGTGTCCACACTGTGTCCGCGTGTCCCCGCGCGGCTCACGCGGCTCCGTCCCGCGCAGAGTCCACGCTGCACCTGGTGCTGCGCCTGCGCGGGGGCATCATCGAGCCGTCGCTGCGGCAGCTGGCGCAGAAGTACAACTGCGACAAGATGATCTGCCGCAAGTAGGTGCCCCCGCTCCCCTTGTCCCTCCTTTCCTGCCCCCGGAGCCGCGCGGGAAGCTCCAGACGTCCCTGCAGGGAGTCGTGGAGCTGCCGGGCTTGGGAACGGGGCTGTTTTCCCGCTGCTC